AATGGTGGATTTGGTTATTGGACAAATCGAAATGATTCTTATGCTGATCCATATATGAGTGTGCATGTTGCACATTGTTTAGCTGTTGTTATGGATAAAAAGGTAAGAGTTTTACTGTATAAAAGAACATAAATGCGATTGCCAGAATTATGCAACTTTTATTTTTTAAATCATCCTTTTTCTCGCATCAGCTACTGAAGCGCTCCAAAATCCTGTATTTTGTTTTTTAATTTGTCATTTTGTTATGGGTTGTTTTCGCGGAGCCTGACGATCGATATTTCCTTAGGTGTGATAATCTCGAAAACGAATGGAAGCATGAGTTATCCATCAGGCTGAGTCTCGTGGCAATGTTCGGTTTTCGGAAAAGATTCAAACAGCGGGTGAAAACCTATATTAGATGAAATCGGTCATGCATGGAAATTCGATTTTTTCATTATCTCGTACACGAACGTATGGACGCACTTCAAGAACAACGAAGCATTTTAGAGAAAAAGTTTCACTGGTAAAGTTCTTCAGGATAACCCTAGGCGGAGCGCTTTTTCTATTTTAGCGGGAAAATTTCAAAACGAACGCAACTTCCATAAATTTGAAATAAAGACGAGGTGCAATAAGAACGAGGATCGACCCTATTTCAGATCTTCTCGAAACGTATCTGGAATAAAAGAGCATACAATTTTATGGGGTTCTACATTGTTGGTTCTCCTTCGGACCTCATACCTGTCAGAAAATCGATCAACTTTGAACAATAGCTCCGCGAGCCCATTCCGAGGTGTTTTTCGTAATTTTCCCAGAACACAACAAGTTTGATAGCCAACGATAGTATTTCAGCTTTTTCCTCGGGAAAGAACTCAGGTTGCGGTCTACATTGTATATCGAAAGAAAGCTCCTTCAAAACTCTACAAAACGGTGGGTAACTCATTTCTAGTTGGAATTGACCACGTTTCTACGATCTCGAACGACAGAGTTACAGGCTGTTTAACATTACGAATATAACCTGATTTGCTTTAATGCCGAAGTTTCGACCTGCACCGCACTTTTTTCTGGCATTGTGGCACATCATCGTAGAAACATCGTCAACATCTCATTTTGTGGAGATTTGAAGGGGCTATCTAATGATATGGTTGAAAAACTTCTGAAAGAAATTTGAAGGTCACTAGGTTTTCCAGAAAACCGAGTTTTTCAGAAATCTCTGTCTTAAGACTCCGAGGCTTAGCATAACGTTTCTTCATCGAAATGTAAGAACTCGACGCGCTCTTTCATTGGATACCAACTTCAAGGATTCACGTTTGGAAATGTGATCAGCAGACGCTCTACAAGTCAGGCCAAATCCTCCAGAAAATGCATTTTGCCGCTGCGAGGGTAGAACGGCTATAACGTTTTTCCTAACAAGGCTAGAGACTTGCGGTTTTCACCATTCGGTTCAGCTTGCTGAGCTCTATAATATGAGACAGGTCTCGCCACTGACGTCAAAGGTCGATGTAAATGGTGGTAGCTTTTATATGAATCGACGCTATTCGCCGATGCCGAAAACATCACTCTGTGGTAGTAATATCCGAAAACCTGAGCGTTCGCACCTGTGACTAGAAATGAATTACCAGCCATTTTGTAGAGTTTTAAAAAAGCTTTCTTTTGATATATAATATAGACGGCAACCTAAGTTCTTTCATGGTAAAAACACAAAAACATTATCCGTCTCTATGCTTAAAAACATCGATCTTCAGTGGTAATATCTAAAAAAGTGAGTGTTCGCATTTCCAACTAGAAATGAGTTACCCACCGTTTTGTAGAGTTTTGAAGGAGCTTTCTTTCGATATACAATGTAGACCGCAACCTGAGTTCTTTCCCGAGGAAAAAGCTGAAATACTATCGTTGGCTATGCTGAAAAGGTTATTTTTAACAGTAATATGGCAAAAACGTGGGCGTTCGCAGTGTACATAACAACTGAGCAATAGACAGTTTGTTCGCCGTTTAAAGCTACATCGAATGGTGTATAAGACTTTCCTTCAAACTTGTTGTGTTCTGGGAAAATTACGAAAAACACCTCGGAATAGAGATGTGCAACCCGGCCCGTACCCGACCCGACCCGAAGGCTGGGTACGGGTACGAAAGCGTCGGGTACGGGTTAGATTTTTTTAGACTATACCCGAGGAAATCTAATGTTATTAATTCGCTTTAGTCTCGAAGTTATAAATCAAATAAGAAAATATATAACAGACTGACATATTCATTTTTCTGTGAGGTGCTGTGTTTCATATGTCAGACGATATCGGTCGAAAAATGTAAGTTTTCGGGTACGGGTACAATGTTGCGGGTACGGATCGGGTACGGGTACTACGGTGCGGGTACGGGTAGGGTACGGGTAAAAATGAAATTTTCGGACCGGGTACGGGTATGAAAATCGTACCCGTGCACATCTCTACCTCCGAATGGGCTCGCGGGGCTATTGTTCAAAGTTGATCGATTTTCTGACAGATATGAGGTCCGAAGGGGAACCAACGATGTAGAACCCCATAAAATTGTATGCTCTTTTATTCTAGATACCTTTCGAGAAGATCTGAAATAGGGCCGATCCTCGTTCTTATTGCACCCCGACCTTTAAAGCTCAAAATTTATTATTTCTAATATATTTCAAAATATTCACTAAATTGAAAAAAGTGCTCCGCTTAGAATACGAAGACGATTATCCTGAACAACTTTGTCAGCGAAACGTTTTCTGCAAAATGCATCGTTCTTTCTGAAATGCGTCCATAAGTTTCAAAAAAATTATTTTAAGGGCTCAAACTACACTAGAATAAAAATTGTTAATTTTCTGACACAGTTAGTTCAATTTTCATTATAACTTGCGGGTATATGTCACCTAATGTGCGCTGTCCAACTGCGTAACAATAAGAGTTCAAGCTTTAGTTTGGAATTTTTTAAATAGAGGATCAAAATCGTATGAAATTCGTAAAGAATTCTTACCTCAGCAATTAGAAGTCGGTTCATCGAAAACACTTCATAGTATAGACAGCTTGATGCGCTCTACAAAGTTGAACGAAAAAGAACCGGGGTCGTTACCCCTTAAAGCTATGGTATAAAACTATTTTTAATGGTTAGTTAATTTGTAAAAAGTTGCTCAGGGTTTCATTTTTTCTAAAGGTGTTGGATGTTAATGGGAATATGTTAAGTAATGCGTTGAAATATGTTAAAAATATCGAATCTGAAATCGATCAATTACCATACAGTAAATATTGGTCTGAAAAAGCTCGATATAGTTTAATGAGTTATGCACTATATGTTAGAGCAAAACATCATAGAAATGTCGCCGAAGAAGCTTCAAAGTTGTTTAAACGTAGTGGATTTGATAAACTCAGTTTAGAAGCATTAGGATGGTTATTAGTGGCATTATCTAGTGGTGAAAATAGTAATAAACGCCAAACAATTGAAATAATATACAAACATCTCAAAGGTAAAGTAAGTGAAACAGGTGAAACAGCTAATTTTATTACATCATATGGTGATGATGGTCAATTAGTCATGTTACATTCAAATCAACGAACAGATGCTATATTATTAGAATCATTCTTATATATTGATCCAAAGTCAACTTTATGTACAAAATTATGTAAAGGTTTACAAGCGCATAAAGTGAAAGGTGCATGGAAATCAACACAAGAAAATTGTTTTGTATTAATCGCATTAGATAAATATTTTCACATGAAAGAAAAGGATACACCAAAATTTGTTGCAAATTTTTGGCTTGATAATGATTATTGTGGTCAGCATGAATATAAAGGTAACGGAATAGCAAAGAGTATTAGAAATTGTTACTAACATCCTAATGTGATATCGATACAAGGATATTTAACAAAATTTGGACCAAAGCAGGATGTCGATTTCTGTAAGGGCTAGTTATCCACATAAATATTTCAGTTGCCTCTATAGTTTATTTGTGATAGTTAATCTTATTTTCATACCCAAAGATCTACATATTAAACTTTAACTTCCAACAAATCAAACTTTGATAAATATCATCCTCACACTTATTAGAAGAAACAATCTGTCTTAAAGCATTTATCTATATGATTATTCACTCTTTGAAGCTTGTATGAACAGTTCTAAAACAATGTATAATGGCTGGTCAATGTAATACAATTTGAGACAATCAATCGGTTATTTCCAGTCATTAAGTCGAGGTTGGCCTTACTCCATTTAAGTACAATTTCAGAAACTTACTGAAAAACATATCTACGACTTTTCGTTCAGAAGTCATTGGACCTTTCAAGTGGCTCTTGAAAAGTGAGCGAACATTGAGCAATGTCAAGTATAATGCATTGAATAACAGGCCTGTTAAATAAGAAGGACAACAAAAACTTGTTGTTTGTGCAGTTATAAGTCTTGTTCGATTCTTAAGGTCTCTAGTAGCTTAAAGTTGACAAGATGATGTTTTTATAGTTCAACATCCATAGTATCCTCAATTGCCGTTATTACGAAGTAGGATACTTGGATAGAAATGGATCTGCGTGATCACCGCAGATAAATCACGGCATGACTTACCTAAAAAGTTGGCTAAAAATACGACGGATATTCACAGACAAGACAATTGTACAAAAAGAGATCTTTACAGCACTATATATTCAGTTGATGTGATTTGAGACACAACATACTCTTATGTTTCGAACGACACGCTTAAACGATGCGAGAAGAGTAACTAGTTTAGAGCATTAATAAAAGAAAAACAGGAAAACCTCACTCTTTGATTATTCGCTGAATAGAAACAAATTTCGATACGCCAAACTATCAGCAATATTTGACACATTTTAACCACTCTCGAAGCCTTTAGGTGATATTCTTAATTCTTCAAATGCTAAAGATCGTTAGAGAATCTTCTCTGACTTTTTGCAAAAAGTATTACTGACATATTTCTCATATCATCTACATGTCTGACTAGAATGTTAGTCCTTTATGTAGTCATATGACGTAGCAACTATCATTCCAAGGCCATCAAATAAAAAATAAATGACAGGATAAATTATTTGTGTAGGACTTTTCCGTGAAAGTCATCTTTCGACAGCATCTGTAGTTGTTGGAAATTAGCGAAGGTCTTATCAGAGTATTAACTTTAATATATCATACCTAAAGGCATGAAGACATTGAGACGAGTTTAACACTTTGAATTTCGTCTTCTACCATATTCCCATCTTTTACTTTCTACGTGCTTGATAACGTCAACTTCTATCCTAATTGCTAACAAAATTATTCGAAGTATCTGAAGTATTCTGATTTTGTTCTTAATATAAAGGTCGAACGACGAACACATACACAGTCAATATTCCAATGAAAGCACTGTTGCCATTAACATCATCATTCAACACAACTAATGATGAGAAAAGTCTAATTATGCAAAAAGTTGGAAATGGTCGATTATATTATCGTATTGCATTGAATTATGCTCCATCAAGTTTACAGTTAAATGCAGTTAATTATGGTTTTAGAATTGAACGAACATACACAGCTGTGAATGATTCATCACATGTTCAAAAACAATCAGATGGCACATGGAAATTGAAGCTAAACCCCCCCCAGAATAGAAGGGCATGGCTTTCTCTTGTGTCCCGTCGGATCAAACTTTT